GCTCGAGGCCACAGACCAAAGAGGGGTCACCGTCCCCGGGGCAGCCCTGAGTGCTTCAGCACCGCAGAGACAGGTCGGGGCCATGGCTCCCCCTTCTCTCCCCTCGCCAGGCCCTGTTTGGGAGCAGCTGGAGAGGCAGGGGGGTGGCTGGGCCTGGTTGGGTCCCTCCACGCTGCCAGGAGTGACGCTGACCCTTCCCCTCCAGGAAGGGACCTCTCCTGGAGCAGCAGCACTGCCCCAAGGGCATCCCGAGGGCAGCCATGCTGGGACAGGCTTTGGCAGGTCCTCCGGCCAGGAGGACATTTCTTTGGTCATTTAATGCAGCCACCGTGACCAAATTGCCTCTTCCACCACCCGAGCTCCAGGAGCAGATGGGTCCCAGGTACCCAGACAAGACTTGGTGGGACAAGCTACATCAGATAGTCCCAGCATCAGCTGCTCCCCACTGTCACCCCACGCGTGCTGCCAACAAGCTTGTTGGAGGCCCGTCACCCCAAAGACACGGTGAAGTCAACCCAAGTCACCCTTGTAGAGGGGTAAGAGCTTGTCTCCCGTTTGCTGTTGAGGCACACGCCACGGAGCAGTCATGCCTGGGAAGGTTTCTGTAGCCCCAAGCGCAGCAGGTTGCCGACAGAGGTTGTGCTGGCTCCGTCCTTGGAGGTTTTCAAGACCAACCAGAACCAAGCCTTGAGCTCGGACCCTGCTTCAAGCAGGAGGTTTGACTAGAGCCTCCCAAGCTCCTCCCGAACCCAAATCATCCTAAACTCATCTTTGCTGCTCATTTCTGCTTCCAACTTTTCCCTGTCTCAGTGTAAGTCCAAGCAGGGAAGCAGCTGGAGCAGATCCTCACCCCGAGGACATCCTGGGGCACGAGACCCCTTCTTTGGGCAGACGCAGAGGTGGGGAGCTCACGGTACCTGGCAAGTTGAACTGCTTCTGCTGGCGCGGGCACTGCGGGGAGGGGTGCAGGGGGGACGGGGGCGTCGCGCTGGGCGGCAGTGGTGGGGCCGGCGAGGAGGGGGTGGAGGAGGTGGTGGAAGAGGGGTTGCTGCTGGAATCTGGCTGGTAGGGCACTGGGATGTGGTCCTGCAGGACACGGGGAAGAAGAGAAGAGAGGAGCCGGTGAGAGCAGTGCCGGTCGGTGCCACCCCGAGGTGCTCCAGTGCAGAGGACCTCGGGGGACAAGCAAGAGCCACACAGGTCACCCCAGTCCCCCATTTCCAGAAGCCCTAGAAAACAACCAGAGCCCCAGCCTGGCCTTTTCCAAAGCCGTTGGTATTCACAGTTTGCACCAAGGCCATTTCACACCACAAATGGGGCTCCTCTGCCAGCCCCTCCATGCTACGCACCCCCGGCCGAGGGCACCCCAAACCCTGCTGGCTCTGCAGAGCCGTGGCCACCAAGACCAGAGTTGGGGGTCGCATCCCTGGGGCTTGGTCCTTAGAGACACCGAGGACCTGGCAGCTTCTGCTGACCTCCTTTGAGTCAAAAACCCCGCGCCTCGCTCGGAGCAGGGGGCTGAGCTGAGGCGGATTTGAGGGGATCAACCAAAACATCCCAAGACGTCCCTTGCCCTTCGTTGACCCTTCCCAATCAAGGCAAGGACGGCAGCTTCGGGTGCGCCTCTCCAGGGCACACTGCGATGGGTGAGAAAGGATCACCTGGGAGCAAACGGGGAGGAGAACCCCCCTGGATAGCTTAGGTCTGAAAAGGAAAATCGAGGCCAGAATTTCCCACCGTGCTCGTGACCTTGCTGCCCAACTTGGAGGCACCTAACGAGGTCTGACCTTCAGCAGCACCGAGCACACCCATCTCCAGGCAGGTGCAGCCATGGCAAGACCCCTCCAAGGTTAGAAAATCTGCATGAGCCTCCCCTAGCTGGTAATTTTGTCCAAATTAATTAATTTTTAAATAATCTGGTCTTTCCAGGAAACCCACATACATTTTATATAGACCATCCTGACAGGCACAACAATCTTGGCTAGGTCAATTGGTTATTTAAACCACCACTGAAGGCTGCTAACCACAAGACTTCCGTGGTGTTCACAGAGAACAGGGTATCCCTAAAGAAACGCTTTTGGAAACATCGAAGTAAGAAGGGGCCCCTGTTGTATAAAGCACATTGATAGAGGAAACTTTAGCCAGAATGGGAGTGCTCAGGCCAAAGCCAAATATATACATATACACACACAGAGTGCATCCTCGTGCTCTGGTTAGAGAAAAGCCAGGAAAGGCGAAAGGACTGCACGGCAGAGGCAGGAGGAGAAACAGGGCTGATGCCCTCCGCACCCAGCGCCTTCAGCAGTGAGCTGAGTCACTTCCCCACCGCCCTCTCACACAACGCAACAAACCACTGGAAGGACAGGCGCTAAAAACAAAACCATACCTCGCTTGCTTTTGAATTCCTGCAGTAGCCTGGGATACCTCAAAGAGCCATTTGCACCGCCCGGTGACACCGACAACAGAGCAGATCACTACACTGCGGATCTCCTAAGAGATTTAGGTTTAAAACCGGCATCCCAGAGAGCATCACACAGCCTTTGCTGAGAGCCAGAAGATGCTGAGGGCCGGGAGGAGCTGGGGGGTCCTGCCAGGCTTTGGGAAGCCAGGGTTTTGACGAGCTGTTCCCCACCACACCGAGGATTTCCATCGCCTTGAGCACTTCCAGCCAGCAAACCCCTCACCCTGCGCTACCTCCGGCTGCCCGCAAGAAATTTTCCACTGAAGGCAACGGGCTCTAAATTTCATCAAAAATAACTCCATGCTGGTTTTATTGCTATTAATGCAGGGCAGAAGCAAGCGAGCCAGGTGCACTGTCAGGTCTGGTTTGAGCAGCTTTGCCAGGGACACAATCAAATTCTGGGCTTGTTTTATTTGTAACACTAAATTTGTTATTTATGGAAGTCTCAGGTAGTGGCAGAGACCTCAAACCACCACAAATTCAGCTTAGATCTGCAGACTGAGAAGCCACAATGGAGCAGGACCGGTGGGGGACAGGCTGTATTGAAAGGGTTGATCCCATTTTATTTTTAAAAGAAATAACTTCAGCAGACCCAGCCCGCACTGGGAAACCCAAGGGGCGAGGGGGTCGCAGCTCTGCTCGCAGCGCGGCTCGTCCTGCCTCAGCACCAAGCTCACCCTCGCTCTGCTCCTTCAATTAGCACCAATCCACGGGATTATTTTTTTAATTTAAGCCCTCAAGGAGGTTTCTCGGCAGCTCCTACCCACGCATCAGTCCCATAGCGGTGGAAGTGCCTGGAGACCCACGGAGACACCCGCACGGCTTGGTCTTGGCAGACAGCTGAGGGGCTGGGAGATGCCCCATCCTGGGGACAACCCACCGGTCCCCTCCTGCCCCAAACCCAAGGTCAGGGCACGGCCCCTTTTGCTCTTCAATTCCTTCTTTTTGAAAACACCCTCCGAGTCGCGCTCCCACCCAGCAAATGGGATTGATGCTCCCGAAGACGGGGCCCTGGGAAAGCTGCTGCTCCTCGTGCCAGGAGCATCCCCACTGGGACAGCCGAGGCAAACGGGGTGGCTCAGGCAACCCAACTCGGGTGCCATTCGAAAACATCACCGGCTTTGGCCCCCGTGTCTGGAAGAGCAGCAGCTGCAGGCGAAGAACCAGCAAAAGCTGCCGATATATCGGTGACGCGCGGCCGGTCCCCTCTGGCAGGGGGTGGGCACGGGGGGGAGTTCGGGGCCGGCCGGGCCTTTGTTGGTCTTGGGGAGCGTCTGGCTGACGTGCAGGTCCGAATACCTGGGGGGTTTCCGCAAGGGGTTGTTGATATCGCAGGGCACCGACTCTGTCCGCACTAACCTCGCTGGATTAAGAAGGGAGAGAGGGGGAAAGGGGATGGAGAGGAGGGGGAGAGAGACGGAGAGACATCAGAGCTTCGAAGGAGCGCTTGGGGACACCTTGCACTTGC